TGGTGAGATTTCATAAGGGCAGTGGCATCTCCATCCAATAGGCTGATAAATTCCATTGGAAAAGCCTGTTTTCAGATATGCTGACTAATTATGCAAAGCATGAGTAGAGGATTACTCCGGAGGAGTCTGAACTCAACAAGACATTTTGAACTGCCTTTATCAGTTTAATGATGAAATAATTAAGCACGTGGGCATTTCTTGAGCTGTCTTTTCTTTATAATGTTTACTCTAGCTCAGAAGTAGCTTTGAGAACTGGTACAAAAAGATAAAGTCATGAATAGGGCAGGTGGCTTATCTAGGCAAAGACATTTCTCTCTAAAGTGATAAGGTGACTGATCACACCTGTCACCACCATGTAACTTGCATCAAAGTGGCACAGGTCACTGGGCTGTAACCCACAGCTACAAGAGAATCTGATTAGTCAAAGCTCTGGAGCTGCAAATTCTCAACTGAACTTACACAAGCTGAATACTGTCTCATGATGGGATACTACCTTAAGGAATATGTAGTGAATTGAATTATGTCCCCCCCAACTCACTGAAGTTTTAGTTGCATCCCCCAAGTTTTATGTATTAGAAACTCAGCCCCCACTGTGACTGTTAAGGGGGTGGGAAATCCTATTATGGTCATTGAAAGGTGGAGTCTGAAGAGGTGATTGGATTGTAGGACTGTGAAGTAGTGAATGGGTTAATAATGGTGGTCAGGGGCGTGGTTCTGAGGGCTTTAAAAGGAGAGGAGAGTCTGTCTGTCTGTCTGTCTGTCTCTCTGCTCCACCATTTTCACAGTGTGATACTCTGTCGTCACTGTTGCTGCCACCAAGACACTCACCAGGTGTGTTCCCTGAACTTTGGACTCCCTAGTCTTTGAAACTGTAAACAATAAATTTCATTTTCTTTATAAATCACTCAGTTTTTGTGTATTTTGTTATAAGCAACAGAAATGGACTGATACAGAGTAGCATCAAAAATTACTGAAATTCTTAAACACGACATTAACTCTTGCTATATTACTTTTTCTATCAATGTTAAAGGTCAGAAAACCAAAGTCATCTTCTCTGGAAAACAGGATCCCACATTCCTTCTGTTTAATGTACTGGAGGCAATGGCTGGGGGAATTTCCAGGTCATAACATTTTTCTAGGTCTGAGTGTGCCAACTACAACCTATATTCTTACCTCAGTTTAGAGATGCTCTCCGATGAACAGAACCATAGAACTGGAGGTTTAGGAGCAGTAGAAACCTCATAAATTCTTTGTTTTATTGATGAGAAGACTGAAGCCCAAAGCAATTAAACAGGTACCTCAAGGGTTACTGTCGAACATTCAATGAAGTAACATTTGTGGGACCCAGAACAGTGCTGGTGCAAAGTGTGTCCGTCGTAGCAGCAAAGTGACTTGTGCAAAGGCCCCCAGCCCAGCGGCAGAGCTGCCATTACAACCTGAATCCCTGCAGTGACAATTCAGTCCGTCGCTGCTGCAGGCACCTTTCAGTTTTCTCTACCTCCCTGAAAAGACCCACCTCATAGCAGAGATTTATTCTGAAGGGCGATCTACCTGAAGGGCATGGAAGGGAACCATGCAAAGACACAGATGAAAGTGGATGCAGAGGTACAGGCGATAAATACCATTTTAAATCTGAAAGATGAGCGTGAACTGCCAAAGGACCTCAGAGGTCAAAACCTGCGCTAGGAGCTGGGACAGCTCTAGGCTGTGCAGAGCCGTGGGCGGTGAATACCTACTTACTCCTTTACTGGCTCTTCTCACATGGCTGTTTTGATACGTGCTTGATAAATGAAGATAAGATAAAGGACCCAAGTCTTTAGAGGTGGCTGTGGCCCAGTGGCACGTGTGGGTCACACTGCCCATGCCAAATCTGCCATCTCTGACCTCCTAAAGCCTCCCTGACCTCTTCATGCTGCGAGAAAAGATGAAACATGCATCCTGTGTGATCACCCCTACTTTTCCGATAGGAAAACAGAGGTCAAAGAGGAAAAATTATGCATCCTACCACGTCACAGCTGGTGCCTGGACTAGAATTCAGGTTTGGGGATCCCCTGCCTCATTCTCATGTTGCTAAATGACCCAGTCTCCCTTAGGAGACTTCCTAGTCATGGCCCAGCCGTCCCCTGCTTGTTTTCACCATCAGACATGGGCAAAGCATTGAAAACATTGACCAGACAACTCAAGGCATAGACATGTTCCCCTAAGTGGACACACAGACCCTGCAGTAAAGTGCTCCCCGGGGTAGGCGGTGAGACCCAGAGGCTGGCGAGTTTTTACCTTCAAATGCCCGAGCAGCGTCCACGAGGTGGGACCAGTCCAAGCCTGTGGCCGTGTCTGGGAGGGGCATCAGGCCAGGATCTGCACACTTGGACTTATCCGATAAGGACCCATCGGAGAACCAGAACTCATCTAAACAGAAACAAAACCAGAGCGTCGGTCAGTCACAACACGGACCCCGCCGTCCCCACCCCGAATGTCAGTCAGTCAGTCCTAGCATGACCCACAGTGTCTGTTAGTCACAGCACAGGCATGACTGTCCCCTCCCTGAGCATCTGTCAGCTGTCAGTCAGAACACCGTCCCCATCATCCCCAATCAGAGCATCAGTCAGTGAGAACCTGGCCTCTGCTGTCCCCTCCCAGAATCAGTCATTCAGTCACAGCACGGCCACAGCAGTCCCCTCCCAAAGTGGCCGAGGGATCTTGCTGCAAAACATCTGCTCTCAATAAAAAAGGAAACGTTAAGCTTCAGTGACTCAAAAGGCAT